AGTTGTAATAAAACGCCCGACTTTGTTCTGCAGCTTTTTCAGACATGCCCGTTTGACGCCGCAGGGTCTCAGGTAGGAGCTGAGACAGGGAAGAAAATGACTGAAGACCACTTATGAAATAAAAATTAAATAATAAGTTCTATCAGCCTGACAGATCGCGTATTCTTTATATCAGAGTCCACAAAAACATTTTCCAAAACTGTGATGTCTCTCCAACACTTCAGGCAGCAAGTCCCAGGATGTAACAGGTGTTTTTCACAAAACTCATTTCCATGTAAAGTAAGTCCCGACTAAAAGACAGGAATGAAACATTGGTGATGTGTATTTATCTGTAACTTGCTCATCTGAAATATTCTTCACACTGATCTAAAATGTTGCTGTTTGTGCAGAAATTGTTCCTGTTCTTTTGAGTCATGTAAATACCCTGGATTTGGCCTCTACATCAAAAGGTTTTTGCTTAGACACAGCACTGGTTCATCCCTTAGCTGTCTTTTTTTATACTGGAGTGATTCGCAGCTCAGTGTTCAGTGAGTGTTACGTTAAAAAAACAAGAAAGTAATCCCTCTGAAAATGGATTGGACTGAAAATGGTTGACAGAAAACCTGGAGAAGTACCGCTCAAGACCACTTTAGAAGACTTCCATGAAAGTTTGGCTCTTTGGAAGCAAAATATAAAGACATGATGAGTGGCTCAAGACATTACTGTATATACACGATCCTCGGCTGAAATCAATTACATCAGTGCTTTTGCTGACGTTATTGTTGTTTTAAGAGTTTACTCTATAGCTAACACATCCCAGTTATAATCTTTAGGGTGTTTGGAGTCTAATGAAATGTAGCTCAGCCCCCAAAGTGGGCTATGGGATAGGTTAAAGCAGCGGTCCCCAACCTTTTTTGCACCATGGACCAGTTTATGTCCGACCAGTTTACGGCCTTTAAGGTGTAGTGGATAAATACAACAAAATAAAACCAATACCGGTACCAAAAAAAGAAGATTTATTCATAGCACAAGGGAGAAGACCAAGGGAAACAGAGTTAACGATAAAAACGATTAAAAAATAACTCTAAAAACTAATAAAAACTCTGAAACAATCAATTTCACATCCGAGCCTCAACTCTCGTGGCCCGGTACAAAACGACTCGCGGACCAGTACCGGTCCGTGGCCCGAGGGTTGGGCACTGCTGGGTTAGAGAAAAGTTTTGTCTTGTCAGTGATGTCGGTACGGTTGGTAATTCAGATAGGAGTAAAAGAACCTCACAAGACCTATTTAAGTCTATATTACTCAAGTCAGAGTGACATCAACATAAGGTTAGAAGATTATTTTTATTGTCTAGGTTCATGCCACCATCACAAAAACCCAAAAATCAAATAATTTCATAGGAAGTCTTCCTTGTGGCAGTGTGAATAAGACTGAGAAGATGCAGAGAAACCAAAAATGGATATGGTGACATTTTTAGGTAGAATCTGGCTTTACAAATAGCAGACTCACTGAGCTCCACCATTTCAGGGATTATATTGGGGAAAAAAGACAGCCAGTGTGACTGTACAGATCTGCAGCGAGTCCGGTTATTACTGAGTATTTGAATGTGTTTACCTGGAGAGGAGCCCGTCGCCTGAAGCACCGGGGATCTGGGGCTTTTGATGCCTTGACAGCACACTGTGGCCACACAGTTTAAAGGACAGCTCCACTGCGGGTTGAGTTTTGAACATTTTCCATCATTCTGACATTAATTCAGCCGCTTTTACCTGCCTGCTGAACAATTACACACATTTTCAAATCCTTGTAGTGGAGCCACTCATACTATTTAGAATTCAAACAGCAGAGAAAGTGGCTGGTGAGCTAAAGTCTCTCAACTAAGACGGAAATTAAAAGTGCAATTGGCAGGATTAAGATGCAGTCTGATCGCCGCTTGGTTACTGGTTTGAAACTGGAAGGGAGGACAGTTTGTCAGTCTAAAGTAAGGCAGTGAACCTGTCAGCATCTGCAAGGGGGAAAAAAGCTGCTTAAAAAAGTAGAGATAAAGATAAAAAAAAAACTGTTTCTGCGTGATGAGCACGGATCTGCTGGTTTTACTGGTTCAGGGTCCTGATAGGGGCCAGTTGCCATGGTGACAGAGTATGTGCCAAGCCAGGGATGTTGCTTTTTATCAGCCTGGCTGGTCAGATGCGTGTGATTGAAATGTTTGACCGTGCATTGTGTGCCTTTTTGAATTAGGACAGTTTGTTTGGCAGCACTCTGTGTATTTGCACAATGTGTGTTTGTGTGTGAGCGGTGGCAAGCGTCCCCACAGCGCTATAGGGAGGCTAATTGTATTTTAATTACAAAACCATCAAACGCACAAGTCAGACAGTTACCTTCCACCCCCAGAAAACACACAGTAAATGGAGCAGTTAAGTGTGTGTTCAGCCCGCTGCTTTTATTAATACTGATGTCTCATTACAGACGCCAGTCAGTGGAAGGAAACTTGAGGACGCGCGAGTAGAAAATGCATAACAAAGCAAACGAAACCATTTATTTTATTTAGGTTTAATAATGTGCGGAATGAAACGTAACCCACATATTTTAAATAATCAGTCTTGTATACTTGCAGCCTATATTTTAATAAGCTCTTTGTAGCATCCTGATTCTTTCAGTATTTTATATTTCTTCAGAGGTTGACTCGGGTTTGTGCCCTGCTCCTGTACATCTCTCTATTCCATCTGCTTTTTCTGTAGATGACTCCAGGAGCCGGTTTATTTGTTGCATTCACTGCACTGCCACCTTAACTGCAATGGCCAAAAAAGAACTGGACACATTTTCACCAAGCGTGAAAGCAGAGATGTTTGGGTTAATAGCAGTCGGTCTGTGAGAATCTCAAAGTTATTCACTGGAAAAGCACTTGTCTGAAATTGCTTCTGACTTTGGCTTTTGTGGAGAAATTATGTGAACGTAGCCTTTTAGCAACATCCACAGTCTAGGCCGAGTGTTGTGTGGTGGAAATACATTCGGTGATTTTATTGCACATTCTAGAAATTACTTGCTAGTTTGTTATTTCAATAATCAAAGCGAATTACTTTCTTTTGAATTGTTGTCAGAAAAAATAAACTGAGAACTTTGCCGCGGTGCAGACCAGCACATTTTTTCTTCTGGAGCAGCTAGAGCTGGGCGATAGAACGATAACGATATGTATCGCGATATAACTTTTACTCGATAGAGAAATTAAGCTATCGCGATAGACCTCGCCGCTCTTGTCCTCTTAAAAAATAAAATAAAAATAATAATAAAATAAAAAAAAGGTCAGCCAATCCAAACTAAGTAGCGCAGAGCCGAACCAATCACAGCCGCAGCGTCACGTCGCGTGACTTGTTACGTACAGCACAAGTGCCAAGCCGCACGTGTGTTTGTTTGGGAAGCAGCCAGCGGGTAATGGAGGAAATGAGTGTGCCGACTAGAAAAATCAACCGAGCGTGACCGAAGAGAAAACAGATAATGGTTCCAATGCCGGAGAGATTTTCGAACGGAAGAGCCATAGAAGTTCCGTAGTGTGATGGTATTTCGGCTATTTCAAGTCTGACAAAAAACAGAGTAGCGTGCACTGTAAATTGTGCCGAAAGCAAGTCTGGAAATACAATAAACTGGTGCATGCGTCACACTGTGCGCCACGTTATTGTTTCGGTGAAATGAATTTCTACAATACTGTTACTGTTAATTCTACTCTCTGCAGTGTTTAAATGCTTACATATACACACAGTTACTGTCCGTCCACACATACGACTCGGTTCTGCTTCTATGCCGCAGCTTTGTTTACTTTTTCCCACCGAGGCTTCTAGACTTCTGATTGGCCAACATTTCTGCACGGTTAGGAATCTAGCGCCACCTGCTGCTTTGGCATGTTCATAGCAGCGTTTTCCTTCATTTCTCCCTTTATGTGTGGACGGGATTATTTTTTAAAACGAAAACGGAAAATCTCAGTTTTCAAAAATACCCGTGTACGTGTGGACGTAGCCTCAGTCTCTGACTGGAAGCGCTAATTCGTCATTCGGCTTTTGTCAGACTAAAGTAACTGTTAAAACTGTTTGAAAAGCTAAGCTATACAACAAGGAGAGATTGAGAATTTCCTTGTAGTTCTCAGTTTATTTGATATTGGCAAAAGTTAGTCAGTTTTGTCTGTTCTTCTGTAAAACAAACTAAGATTTATTTTTAGAATTAATATTTTGTTTCTAAGTGGAATTGACAATTTAGTAGTCTGTTTCGTTTGTTCTATTTTGAAACTTAAACGCTTTAGCGGCTGCCTTTTGTGTAGTTTGCAATATTTGCCTTTATTTATCTGAAAAAGTCTCATGTTCCTTAACTACATCTACCCTGTTGAACTTATTATGGGAAATAAATATTTAAATAAAAACAAGCTGCTGATTATTTCACATTTTACTTGTGAGCAACGGCACATTTAAATCTTACAAATATAGTTATTTGGCTTATATCGTGATAGATATCGTTATCGCCTGAAATGAAAAAAACATATCGTGATATGAAAAAATCTCATATCGCCCAGCTCTAGGAGCAGCCTACAGCAGCACAGAACAGAAAAGACAGATATGAAAAAGTTCATATCTGTTAAAACCTTTATTGGCTACGGCTGCTGAATTTATGTGACGTTACTGAGTGCAATAAACTGGAAACACTTTAATCTCATCAATTGTTCTTTGTTAAAAGGCCGGTTTAGCTTAACGCTAAAGCATTTGCAGATAACATCGCTGAGAAGAGATGATTCAAAGATTTAAAATGTGATGAGATGAAAGTTGACAAGTGTGAGGTGCAGAATCAAAGTAGAACCTGAAGTGAGAATAGAGCAAATGACTGTTTTAAGGTTATTTTTACAGTCCAGCTTCTATTTGATGTCTCTAATCATTTAAGCTGCATCAGATCAAACGGATAAACAACACTAACTTGAAGTGATTCACCTTAAATGTTTCAGAAACGAAACTAACCCTGTCGCTTTCCCTATGTCATCCAATCACAGCTGCCCCACCGTCGAGTGACCTTCTCTACGGCCAATCAGGCGCAGGATCTGCAGGACGCATCCCAGCACAGCTATTACGACAGCGGCTTGGAGGAGTCGGAGACCCCCAGCTCCAAGTCATCATCGGGGCCGCGGATCGGGCCTCTGGCTCTGCCGGAGGACCACTACGAGCGGACCACACCTGACGGCAGCATTGGCGAGATGGAGCACCCGGAGAACGGTAAGACCAGGTGGAGTTTCCCCTCCCTCTACTCCTCTTTTCACCTCCTCCATCCATCCATCAACCCATAGGGAAGCAGAGGCACATTTGCACACACACATATATATATATACATACACACACACACAGGCGCACGACTAAAAGCATATCAGCACCGCTGGGTTTCACACACATTATAACTGTTTTCATTACACACACCTCCCTTGCCCTGTATGTCAAAACGCGGCATGTCAGCAGGAATGTTAACGGCGAATATATTTAATCAAATTCCCACAATTCCCTGCGCTGCGCATACCTTCGTTAAAGAGGTGTGTGACCTCACAGCAGCACAACACAATCAATATGCAACATAATCAAGTCCCACGGCTTAACGAATTAACATCCCAATTATGTAAATCATACCGAGTCCAACCCTCTATCAGCTGCATTTATAGATCCGCAGAGGGAGGCTAACAGGGAATAGCTAACACAATATTCTGCGCTCTGACTTCACTAGTTAGCATTTTGTCAACCTGTCATCATGTTAGCATGTTGATTTTTCTTTCTATATACATATATGTCGTCCCTTGTTTATCTTTTACAGAAAACCAGCTCTGAATATCTTCATAGTCCTCACAGGTTGTGTATCAGTCTGAGCCTGTTAGCTGTAGACTGTTTACTGAAGCTAACGATGTTAGCGTTCCTCCAGCTGAACACGATGTGCTGTAGTGTTTTTATCGTAACTTGTAAAGCACGATGAAATATTTAAAGTGATAAATAAGGGGATCATACTATTCTACATAATGGTAAGCATATTACATCATCACAAAATCAAATAACATCAGGTATGAAAAGTAACGCTGGATGGATTATGTTAACTTGTAATATGCTAACAGCTAAACGTAAACTTGGCACATTGTGACCCACATTATTACCACAGCATCACTGTGTTGACTGTAAGATTTGTACCTTTGACATAGAAACTCTAAACAGAGCTATAAAAATAACTTGATAATACTGACAGGTAGAAACAAACGAAGCAGCATTTATATGTTGTCTCAACTGATCTACTTCCACACTTACACTCATTATTTTTAGTGCACGAGTATGTTCCCATAACCGAGTGCAACTACACAGAGTGCTTTTTGTGACGGAGAACTCTGAACCATCAAAGCGCCACCAGAGTGTGAAGCACTTACCTAGCATGGTCACATCTTAGTTGTGTGGGAGACAGGGAGGGAGGATGTATCATCAACACCTGCTGTTATTCTACTGTTAGCTAGCTAAAAATTGCAGATTTAGCACCGTGCATGTGTTAAACTGTTGCTAAATTCAGTATTACAACTTCCAAGCGTTATAGAAATAGCAGCAGCTTTCACGTCAGTCACAGTCCTCCACAGCAAATTCAGGTAAGTGCATGACTTGACAGTAGTTGGTGTAATGTGTTGTAACTTTCAGGTCTGAAAAATGAAGGCAATTTCTGTGCCGTGGCCATCAGGGGATGGTATCTGTGTTTGCAAAAAGACTTCCAGTCCATAGACCAGTTTGAGGGGTGTATGAGTCCTCGGCCCTGACCTTATTAGATACTTTCTTGTCTTTACTTTTCCTCATTTCGGATCATATTTAATAAAACAATTAGTCCATTTAAAAATTTTGATAATTCCATGTCCCAGAATTGAGGATTACCCAAGCTATGCATGTTCAATATGGAACTCATGCTCATTGGCTTTATGCATAATCCAATGGGTGGGATCACAGTGGTCCATCCAAACATCAACTCTTGAAGCAGTTAGTTAAGGCGCTACCTTGATACTGATGACTGTAAACAGACTTGATGTGCCCTGTTAGCACTAAATGCTAAATAGTTCACAATATTAGCCTCTTTTAGCTTGTATTACCATGATGTTAGCACATTGACTCATCTCAGATTTATATATAAATCAAGTTTGTATGTGGGTACTAATATTTCTGTTCAAGGAAACCTGAGAGTTTTTCTTTTTCAAAATGTTCTAATTTATTTAATTATTTGACTTGTAAACCATCATAAATTCAAATGATGTATATTTTACGTGTACCAGTGATGTTAGCTTTAGCTGTAGCCGCTCATTATGGCAGTTGTGAAAAATTCAGCACGACTTTCTGAACATACTGAATGAGTCTTTTATGCTTTAACTGTGTTATAATCCAGCAACAAGCAGTGGCATTGCTTATAACATGGCAGCTAGCCATAGTAGGCATTAAAAATCAACACAATTCTTAATCATTCCTCCTGCACCTATTAGAGCACCGCACTTCGCCGTGTTTGATACATGCCGAAGGACAAATTACCGGTCAGATGCAGGCCAAAGCGATAAATGGTGAGCAGAAAAAGTAAAGGAAGATGGAAAAAGTGACTTCATGTTTGGATGAGCTGATTCTGACTTCACCTGCAGGCTGGGGGTGATCATTCTCATTAGCTCTGTACAATACTGTATTTTGGGTGCAGCTACTTTAGTATGGCCATAAAACAAGTCAATTACATAAAATTATGCACATTTACTATCCACAGCCCTGTGTTTCTACTGTGTATTGGAAAAATCTCATTTAGGTTCAATAACATAAACCAATCCATGCATTAAAAAATAGAAAGATTCAAGGAAAAAAAACTTGTTTATCCATATGAAGTAAAAAAAAATGCCAAAAGATTAAATAGAATAACAGCATTCTGAGGCTTTCCTGAGAAATGATTACACATCTTTGCTGCTGAGAATCTAATTCCCATCTGATTTTTGCTCCGTGCTTCAGTCCTATATTTCACTGAGATCATGATACACAGTAACTGTTGGTTTTTAGTGTTTAAAGCCCAGTTTCCCTCAGGTATAAATAAAGTGCTTCATTTTATAGACCCAAATTATTCATTAGTCACACATTTAAACACACCACCATCTTTTTTTTAAACTTATGTCACCGTTCATTGTTCTGCTCGGGCTCTCAATGCCTCGTTAACACTTGTGCCAATTAAGCTAACTCAGGTGAAATGTTTGAAACTGGCAAGGAATAAAAAGCGGGGGGAGAGAGAGAGGAGGGGGGGGAGTGAGGTTCAGTTTAAATGCCATCCCCGTCTGCTTTTGTGAGGGCGAGAAGACCAACTCTGGCTCTTTCTCTCTCTCCACCCACAGGTCGTACATATACCATCTGTAAACACAATTATTCACAGCTGCTTGCACGCCCACAGGCTACTGCCACCCAGTGTGTGTGTATGTGTGTGTGAGTGTGTGTGTGTATGTGTGTGTGTGTGTGTGTGTGTGTGTGTGTGTGTGTGTGTGAGAGAGAGATAGCGATAGAGAGCAGGAGAGTGTGTAAGTGGCTCTGTATCTGCTCGTACACAGAGGAATGAGGTCAGGGCGATGTTGTGTGTGAGTTGCAGTGTGCGAGGGGATGATGGTGTTGTACAATCTTCCACTTTGATGGTCAAACATGTTTTAGCTGCAGGTATTTTCCTGAGGAAGTGTGTCTGAGTGTGTGCGCTGCTCTAGCAGAGAGGCCAACAGATTACAGAGGATTAACACACCACTACAGATACACTTTACTCTCGCTCTGTTTCTCTCAGCCCGATTCTAAAACTTCAGCCTCCGTTGCTACGATAAGCCGAGCTCCATACTGATCATTTATTTGAACAAAATCCTTCTTTTTTCTTATCTTTCCATCTGTGAGTAGATCATCCCCTCGCTCGGCTTTGTCCAGCAAATCTCCGTTCAAAATTCCAGCGATTTTTGTCTGCGGGAATTAGCGCACCACAGATTCAAAACGCAGACTCTGTATATCATATGCAGCTGGACGTAATTAAGGTTCAACATTAAATAGATAATTAGGCAATAATTAGACCAACTGGCAGCACGTAGCACGTGTTTTCCAGATTATGTTTTTTAGGAAGTGACTGAGCATTGGTGCCGGGCCGTACACTTTGTTCTGTGTCCTTAGCAGGCTGTTTTGATGTGTCCTTCTGTTTTCCTGCAGACTCTATCGATCAGTCAGCTGTGTGGCTGATTGCTGATCTCAAGTGCTTCAGACAGATTGATGGAAAGCTGGAGGAAACGACTGTCTGCTCTCAAACATGTTTTCTTTTCAGCGTTTTGTATCATTTGATTACAGTTCTTTTACCCTTGTTAGTTAACTGTCTCTTGTGCTTATACAAATACATTGCTCTTATAGCAGATTACAGAAACATCAAACATATCCTCTGTCTATATGGAACTAGTTGAATTCAAACATGGATTCTGCATAGAAGCATCGCTCCACAGCACATAGTAAAGAGTGGCTCTTACATCACGCATGGCCACGATGGCTCTGAGGGATTGCAGCCTGTCCTTAATGCATCTTGGTTCCTTTTCCTCTTGTCTTTGTAGATGGATTATCCACATATAGTAATATAATCTGGACTTAATCCGCATATAAACTGGATACTCATGACATATGACACTGTTCATCCAGGACTGGGCTCACAGTAGACCATCTGTTCCCTGTGAGCTGTGGTCATTCTGCACCAGAGTGTTAACCTCTAACATCCCAGAAGTCACTGGTGACACATCATGTTCAAGTATGTCTTTGATAAAGCACAGTAAACATGGGTCAGTAACAGTTCACTGAACTTGGGAGGCAGAGCCTTCAGCCTCTTCTGTGGAACCAGCTCCCAGTTTGGATTTGGGAAACAGACACAATCTCTGCTTTTAAGATTAGGCTTTAAACTTTCCTTTTTGATAAAGCATATAGTTAGGGCTGGACCAGGTGACCCTCAATCTGCAGTAGCTTTACTCTGATTACCATGATGTACCTTCACTCACCTTTTTAACTGTATTTGTTTATTCACATTTAATTATTAGTTATTATTAATCTCTGGCTGTATTTGACATAAACGTCTTCCTTCTCTCTCCCCAACCGGTTACGACAGATGGCTGCTCCTCCCTGAGCCTGGTTCTGCTGGAGGTTCCTTCCTGTTAAAAGGGGGGTTTTCCTTCCCACTGTTGCCAAATGCTTGCTCATAG